TGGGTGCAGCATCCACCATCTGCTACAGAGCCATGAGGCCCAGGCTGGGTTGAAATGGGGACAGATGTAGGATGTGAGTTTCCTGGTGAGTGTTTGTTCTCTGCCCCTAGAGCTCTCACACGTGTATAGTTTGCCCAGTGTTTTCACATGTAGGTCTCACTGGGTCTGTATCTCTCCCCATGACAGTGGCCTAGACATGTAGACATAGTAGTAATATTTGAATACATAAATGAACTTTATACTCATAAAAGCCCAGTGATACGGTAGATATTATTACTTTTTCTCCAACCTATTATTTTAAGAAATTTCAAACGTTACAGTAAACAGAGTTGCAAGAGTAGTACTGTTCACCTAATTTTGCTGCATTTGATTTATCTCTATTTTTTCTTACTTTTGGAGGGCCAACCATCTGATACTTGCAAGTATTTCCACACTTTGCCCCTTTATTCTTCAGTGTGTATCTCCTAAGAATAAGAGCATGTTCCTATATAATAATAAAAAAATTATCTCACTGCAGAATTAAACATTAATACAATATTATCTAATAGATACCCTTACTCAAATATCTTCAATTGTCCTTTATAATGTTTTTAATCCTGATGCCATAGAAGAGCAAGTCTGTGCACTCAATGTCGTCGTCACATCTCTTTCTTCTTCTTGAATCTGTGGTAATCCTACAGCCTTTTAAAAAATCTTTCGTGACACTGACATTTTGAAGTGTTTAGGCTATTAGTTTCGCAGACAGTGTCTGCATTTGGAATTGTCCGATTGTTTTTTCCTGTGCAGATTCAGGTTAGCATATCTGGGAGCAAGAAAGACCACATGGGCGATGTGCTCTCCTTCTCAGAGCTTCCCATCGCAGCCATGCGGTACCAAGGTGTCTCATTTTTAGAGGGGTTAATGCACATCACTTGGATAAGATGGTGTCTTCCAGGTTCTTCCATGGTCAGGATATCTTTTCATTTTTGTACATCATTAAGTGATCTGTGGGGTAATATTTTAAGACTGTGAGTATCCTGTTTCCCAACCATCTTTCACCTGCTGGTTTTAGCACCCGTTGACAATGTTTGCCTGCATTAATTTCTCGCTGGTGGTAGAGATATTATTATTTACCATTTTCAGATCAAAAAGACAGGTTCAGGGGAAGGGCATGCCTTTAACCCGCACTTGGGTGAGGCAAAGACATAAAGTGTAACCATAATGTTTGTACCTTCACAATACCCCGGAATAAAAAAAAAGACAGGTTCAAAAAGGGACCTGACCAAGGTCTCGTGTGCCTGGCCAGGTTAGGAGAGGGACACCACGCTTCCCTCCCTGAGGCTGGCACCCTGGCCATCCCACCGTGACCACATCTTTATTAGAATGCCTGGATTATGTTGCAGTGGTTTACCTTGTATAAGTCACTCATTCTCTGCCTGCCCTCCCATTTCCATGCAGACATCTGTCTTAGAAATCAGTAGTTTCTACTGAGCTCATCAGGTTCTGTCTTACTTGGGTCAAGTTCCCTAGAAGCAGAGCCTGATTCGGGGATTCATGTTCAAGTGATTCATTGAGGGAGGCTCTCAGGAGCAGCCAGCAATGGGTCTGCTCCCAGGGAGAGGGCATACCTTCCTGGGCATTTCTAGGAGGTGGGGCAGCTGTGGGCTTTCAGCAGCCAACGCTCACGGCACCCTGCTCTAGTGGGGGTTCTGGGTGGGGCGCCAGTAGCATCCACTACAGGTTCAACCTCTCATTCGTTTGTTCTTTCCTGAAGGTTGTCCCTGATAAAAGCCAATTTGTCCTGTAATAATATGCTGTAAGCCTCAAATGATTGGCTGAATCAAAGAGTTGGCTTAGTCATTTGCAAAGACAAGGTCTAATTTATGGCTGCTCCTTTATAAGGCCCCACGAATCTTACTCACCGTCTTCCTGTCTGGGCCCTGGCTTTTAAGGTTGAGGTCAATTGTCAGAACAAAGGCTTTTTAGCTCCTTGAAACAACTGAGGAGTCACAGGATGTTCCCTTCTAGGGAAGGAAGAAGTGTCAACATGTTTACTCTCAGCACACATGAGCACCACGATTGCCGTGTTAGAGACTGTCGAATTTGGTCTTGGCGAAAGATGGCCAACCTGAGATGGCAGGGATGAAACGTTTCTTTATTTAGGTTCCAAGAATTCTTGCAGTGGCATGCTATTCAACCCCCTCCCCCAGCCCCCTAAAAGAACAAAAAACAAAACAAAACACCTAATTGATTCTGAATCAATGTGTGTGTTTTGCTCTCAGATCTCAAGCAAGTGTTCCTCAAAGTGTGGTCCTCAGATTGGCCGTATTGGTGTCACCCAGAGCTTGCAAGAAATACAGCATCTCTGGCCCACCCCAAACCTGCAGAACCAGAGTCTCCGGGGCTGCAACCAGGAATCTGTGGCTTAACAAACCCTGGGTGATTCAAGCCCTGATCCAAACCAGCGGCTATAAACTTGGCTTTGCATTGGGATTCCCCTGGGGGACTTTAAAAAATTCAGATACTCATGTCCCACCCCAAAGTGTCTCATTTATTTGATCTAGGGTGCAGTCTTGCTATTGAAATTTTTTTAGGCTCCCCAGGTGACTTTTACTGGCAGCCAGGGCTGAGAATTGCTGGTCTAAAGCTGGCTCTTTTACCTTGTATGAAAGGAATTTTAACACCAGCTTCCTTTGAAGAGTGTGTTCTTTCAACTGCAAATATTCGCTTCCAAATACCCGGAGGCCCTGGAATGGCATTCGCAGAAAGAGAAACTGTTCCTTTTTGGCACAAAGTCTCCTATCTGGAAACTTGTACCAGGAGTAAAGGAAAACTTTCACATATTTCAGAGAAAATAAAAGGTAAATTTTGAATGGAAGAGTGGGATTCTTTAGACCTGAAGAAAGTCAAGAAGGTGAGGAGGAAAATTCAGGGTAGCATGTCTGGCCAGTGCACATGCTGTCATTGTGGGTCTTGGTATTGAGTCTGCACACCCGGAAACGACAGGCTTGGCTTCTTCTATGTTCAATCCCACCTCTTAAGAGTAGAATTGTCCACACGAAAATATCATTCTTCCTTTTATAAATTTCCCTACCCTCACCTTACATCTGGTTTCATCATCCATCCTTCTCAGGGTTGAAGACTTTGTCAAACCACACTCTAGTGTTTCTTTGGGTGCAGAGGTTTGAAGATCGTGTGCACCACAAGCTGCAGCTTTGGACACAAGTGATCAGGTCTGACGTCCCTCCTGCTGCTCCAGGACCCGCACTGGTGACCTGCTCCTGGAGACCCAGGGAGAGAAACCCCAGAGCTAAGCAGCCCCGGATGGGAATTTCAACCCTCTCCCTCATGACCTTGAGCAAGATACTTAACTAACCGATCTGAGCCTCTCAGTCCTCTTTTTATAAAACTGGGATCACAGTGCCCATTGTTCAGGGCTGTTGCGAACAGTAAACAGGAGAACGTGGTAGGTGCGATGGCTCACGCCTGTAATCCTAATACTCCGGGAGGCCAAGGCCGGAGGATCACTTGAGGTCAGGAGTTCAAGACCAGACTGAATAAGAAAGAGCAAGACCCTGTCTCTGCTAAAAATAGAAAAAATTAACTGGGCGTGGTGGCACACACCTGTGGTCCCAGCTACTTGGGAGGCTGAGGCAGGAGGATCACTTGAGCCAAGGAGTTCGAGGTTGCAATGAGCTATGATGAAACCAATGCACTCTAGCTGGGGCAACAGAGTGAGACCATGTCTCAAAAACAATAATAATAATAATAAGAGAATGTTTGTAAAGGGCTTGGCATATAGCAGCCACCACCTAGTTGCAAACTATTCCATATTCCAATCTGACTTGTTACCCACAAAGTTGGATGAACACCAGATCTTTTTTAATTTCTAGTTCTGCCACTACATGGCTATTATAACTCAGACAGCTCAATCACTTCTTGGGCCTCAGTCTTCTTATTTGTAAAATGGGGATTTAACACTCGCTAACAGAATCAGTGTTGACACCAAAAGAGGTCAATGTGGCTTATTTACTAGGATGCAATTCACATGCCATAAAATTCACCCTTTTAAAGTGTATGATTCACTCAGAGGTTTTTAGTATATTCACAGAGTTGTGAAATTATCACCACTGTCTAATACCAGAACATTCCCATCACCCCAAAAAGAAACCTGGTACCTATTTGCAATCACTTCCCATTCTCTGGTAACCACTAACCTACGTTCTGTCTTTGTGGATTTGCCTGTTCTGGACATTTCATGTAAATGAAATCATACAGTATCTGGTCCGTGCTCCTGGCTTCTTTCTCTGAGCATAATGTTTGCAAGGCTTATGCATGCTATCGTATGTGTCAGTGCTTCATTCCTTTTTATGGCTGAATAATATTCCATTATAAGGATAGACCACATTTTATTTCTCCACTCATCAGTTGACAGACATTTGGGTTGTTTCTGCTTGTTGGTTATTATGAATAATGTCAATATTAATTTAATAGTAGCACAGCACCACTCCACTGGGAGGTTTTATTATAAATAATGTTAGCAGTAAAAATGCTTAGATTTGTAAGAAGAAATAAAGGTACAAAATGAGTGTGTGTGCCTTCATTTTGCCTTTAGATCAGGGTCACGGTACCACTGAGCATTACAACCTCATGGTAACCACGCATGGAATTAGCATTTAGGGTTCTGTCCTCAAAGTCAGAAATGTTTTATGCCAGAAGACAGAGTCTGAACTAAATGGTATTTAGGATACTTAGAACCTTTTGAAAGTGGGAGTAAAAATAGAAGGTCAGATCTGTCAAGTAAAAGGCGTTTTTCCTTAATATTAGGAACACAAAGTGAGAAATACGACATTGCGTCTGCCCTCAGAACGCTTCCAGCCTGGAAGAGAGGACGAATACGGTGGTGTCACAGGATGGTGTGTGTGCTATGAGAGGCCTGGCCAACGAGCTCGCAGGGATGGTCTCATCGTTAGGGAAACTGCACTGCAGACATCTGACCCTGCCCGTTCTCTCTCTCCTAGCATGGTAAGACACAAGGATGGCAGTTATTCTGACGACGAGGGCGTGAAGACCTGTGCCCGGGACTCCGGCTATGACAGCCTCTCCAACAGGCTCAGCGTCTTGGACCGGCTCCTCCACACCCACCCCATCTGGCTGCAGCTGGGTCTGAGCGAGGAGGAGGTGGCAGAGGTCCTGCAGTCCCAGCCTCCAGGGGTAAGACTCAGAACCTCTGGAAACAGGTTGAGGCAGGCAGGGCTGCTGCTGCGGCCTTAAAAACAAACATTTGAAGTTAAGTTCCAGAAAGTTCTTCCTAGCTTATAGGGAGCATGGTTCCCAGTGTGTACATGTGTTACAATGCAGGGAAATTCTGGAAACTATGGAGCCAACTCCTAGTGACAGAGTCCTCGATGATTGCCTCTGTCCTCATCTGCTCGGTTACCACGGCGGGTGCAGAACTCAGCAGGATTCCCCCACACCAGCCAATGAGCAGGGCCCACTGGCCAAGGGCCCTGGGCCTGACCACTTATGCCTGGGCATTGAGGATGAGTCTGTTCTGGGGTCCTCAGTGGCCTCTGCTTCTTCCCTTTCATTCCAAGCCTGAGAACCCTGCCAGGGCCCAGTCATGCCACTTGGGACCCAACCTTCAAAAGGTCTATGTCTGTTCTGGCTGCTGATGTAATCTTCTTTTTCTTGGGCTTTCTTCATGGCTTTCCACGTGGATCAAAGTCCAATTTAGCTTCTTCAGCCTCTGTCTCTCCAAGGTCACTGTCTTGTCTCATCAAGACCACTTCATGACTTACAAAAGTTCCTGAAAAAAATGTCATTCAGTGATCAGTATGTCCTGTGTTGTCCGATATGGTAGCTTCTTGCCCCATGAGCTCCTTAGATTTACATGAGTTAGCGTAAATAAGAAATTCAGTTCCTTGTTTGCCCCAACCACATGTTAGGTGCTCCCTAACCACAGGTGGCTACCATATTGGATGGCACACAATGTGGATCACTTTCATTGCTGCAGAAAATTCTATTGGACAGCACTTGTGTATAGTGTCTACTTCTAAACAAAGAATAAATACAATAAATCACAGGTGACATAGGACAAAATGGCATATGACAACAGATAGAAACTCTATTAGGTAGAGGGGCAAGGAGAAAATTTTAGCAGTAGCTGGCTGAGGAATGTCATAACCATTCGGCACAAAGATAATGTTTTGAGTTTCCTAGCAGCCAGAACCTGTCTGTACTCACTTTTTTTTTTACATGTAAGTGGGTCATTATTATTTCTCATAGGACAGAAACAGGCAGAACTAAGACCTGTGTTGGGATGAGCTGAGGGTGACGAGGCACAGTACTCGGTCACCTCTGCAGAGAGCTCCTTGGCCAGTGCATGGGCTGTTGACACTAGTGCTGCTGTCTGTGATGAGGACATCTCCTCCCACGTGGGCTCCCTCACTCTCTGCCAGCCGAGTTGTCTGCTCTTGCATTGCTGCAAAAAACTGTGAAGAGGAAAGTCTCTGAGTTGCTAGGCGCCAGGTCCCCTCCCTGCCAGCTCCCCCACCAGGGGCAGGTCGTGTCCATTCCTGCCAAGACCTGCATGGGACAAGCCAGGCAGTGTGTGCTCTCCTTCACCTGCCAATCCCTGGACGGGGCCTACCAGACGAGCTCAGGCAGGTGGGGAAAGGGCGAGGACAGGAGAGGCAAGAATGAATGGAGAGGGAGGAGCCGGTGGCTGACAGTGTGCGAGGGAGGAGGACTTGAGAGACTGGCCCTGGTGGCGTGAGTGAAATGGGTCTCTGGCATGCCCCATCCTTAATTAATCTACACCCTAGGACAGGGGGCCCCAGACGGCTTCTGTAAAGGGCCAGAGTGTGAATATTTTCATCTGTGCTGGCCATGCAGTCTGCATCACACCTATTCCACTCTGCCATTGTCGTGCAAAAGCAGCCATGGACACCATGTAAGCAGCATGTAAGGGGCGGCTGTGTTTCACTACAACTGTACTTACAAAAACATGTGGCTGGAGGGATTTGGTCCGTAGGCCAGACTTTGCCAGTCCTGACACAAGGCTGCAGTCCTCCCGAAAATAAGGCCTAGAGGTTGTACTTTCCCCAACCCCCGAGGCTCTGGTAGGTCCCTATCCGCAAAATGGAGGAACACTTCCTCTCTTCCCACCAACAGTGCTTTGGCCTCTGACCCACAGGAAGCTATTTAGGAAACATCTGCTTCAGTTTTAGGGTGTCCGGGAGATACTGACTCCCGGACCTGCTACTGGATGTGCTCAAAAGTCTTCCTGTCTCTGTCCTCATCAGACACCCAATTCCTATACGTGCCCCCCATACCCTCAAAAAGTTATCTTAGGAGCTATTAACTGGACATAAGGAGCAGAGTGAACATTAGATGGAAAAAAATAGAAGGCTGTAGAAAGGTAAGGGACTGGAAGGGTGGAGAGTAGGTATTCAAGTGTAGAGGAAAGAGAAGTAGTTCAAGAAACAGAACAGGTTAGGATCCTTGGAGAAGGGTCATGTAGCCCAGAAGGGAAGCAGGTCTCAGCCAGACTGCCAGACTGTACACTCAGGGAGTGCCATTCAATTTGTAGGCTAGGTGAATGTGCTTCCTGGAGTTGTGCAGTGCACGGCCTGCACAGCAATACATGACATACTCATATCTGCAGTGACTGGGGCCAGCAATGGGAGTTGGGCTTGTTTAAAGCACATGTCTGAAGACAATATTAGGATCTGGAGGGAACTGGCGGAACGTTAAGTGAGTCAGGAGTAAATGGACAGCCTCCGTGTTGGCTGGGGTGGACCTCAGAGCACATCCACCCACCTCCCAAATGGAGCAGCCAGTTTTCAGCTCCAGCAGACTGTTGCTTGCCATCAAGCCTGGTCTTGCTATATCGTGTCATTTTCCAAGAGAAGCTAAAAATTCAGATTTTAATGTGGAAACAAAAACCAAAACAACTTCTGCTTTTTCACTGTTGACAACAAATTCAAATTCCTATCTTAAAATACACCTATGAGCCAAATTGGCCAATGAGCTCCCAATTCACCGCCTGCAGTTTAGCCACATTACCTGTGTTTAGAAGTTAGGTTTCATCAGCTAAGATGCCCACAAAAGACAGGGGTTGGCGAATATGTAATCCCAGCAGTAAAACTGAAAATGTTTATGCAGACTAGGGGAGTTCTTAGCTGCAGGGAGAAGGATCTATCAAACGGAAAGTAGGATTCTTTTGAAGCCAGTTATCAAAGAAAAGTGTCTGCAGCATGCTCTCTGCGCACCCCCTTCTCTGGCAGTAGAGTTTCCTGCACTGAGCCATGCAGTTCAACTAGGAAGCAGGTATGAGGGAAATCTTATGCTCAGGTTCCAACCTTCTAGACATTTCCTAAGCTTGACTGTCTTTTCCCTGCACTAGATCTTCCTGGTTCATAAATCCACCAAAATGCAGAAGAAAGTCCTCTCCCTTCGCCTGCCCTGTGAATTTGGAACTCCACTCAAGGAATTTGCCATAAAGGAAAGCACATATAGTAAGTGGCTGTTGGATGGTTAGGTCCTGGTTGAGCTGAGGGCCTTTGGGGCTCTCAAGGGAGGGGAAGCGAAAGGAGCCTGGGCTTTGGGACAGACATGCGTGGGTCTGAGTCCTAGCACTGAATGACTAGGCAGGTAATCTACCTCAGGAGCCTCAGTTTTCTCCTCTGTATAATGGGCTGATGGTAACCCCTGAGTTGCTAACAGGTCAATTAAACACACTAAACCTGTGTGTGAAGTGTGTGGCTTATTGCTTGGCATATGTTAGGGGCCTAACAGAGGTTGGCTTCTTTGCCCCTTCCCAGGTAAGCAGAGCATGGATTTGGTTTCCAGGTGCGTGATGACTAAGCTGCAGGGAAGTCTTTAGAGAAAAAGCCTATCTACAGGATCTAATGCTAAAGCATGTTTCTGCGCATCTTTGTGCATAAATAATCCTTGAGCAGATGTGTTCCTTTCAGGTAATCACCATATAGTCTTCTATGAAATGTAGCCAATCAGAGGCATAATCCATCCCTTTGGCTAATGTTTTGAAGGCAGGGAGGTGCTCAGTGGCATCGGTTTTCTTTCTGCCACTGCGTGGTGGCTATCCACTTTTTGGTCATTGGAAATCTGAAGTGTTGGAGGCCAAGTTTTAAATAAAAAAGGGAACACACAGTTCTGATGTACTGCCAAGCTCTCAGAAAGGATGGGGAGATGGGTCTGCACACCAAAGGGGACGGAGGCTTTGCTGGAAATCCTGGGTTAGCACGGTGGGGGTTGAAGGCCTGAGAGGCAAGTGGGGAAGTGAGATTGAGACTAGGACTCTCACTCATGTCTCAGTTTCCCCCAGTCGCCTCGGTTCCTGCATGTAAAGAAACCAAAGATATGGCGGTCACCGTAAGGCAGAGATGAGATTGTACTTGGCCTGGAGTGCACAGTCTTGCTGAGCCCGATGACCTTTAACTTAGTCTGTGGAGGAGACACTTCTGGCAGAAGTAAAACCTGCCAGCCTGAATGCGATCCGCCTCCAGTTCAATTGTAAACCCGGATCTCCCAAGGTCGCGGATGCCAGGGAAACACTTCAGCCTGAAAGGTGCACGGTTGGGTGCAGCCCGGCAAATAACGCAAATGCATTAGAAGGTGATCAGAAGACACGATTCAAACCCACTGTTTTAAAGATAATGAGTTCATATTAAGTGAATTACATCATCCAGAGTTGGCTTTTGAAAGTCTGTGAACCAAGAAGCCGCAGATACAACTGGTTTTTAAATCCTTCCTAATATCCAAAGGTAACCATGATGTGTTGGTCTGGAAGCCACTTCCTTTCCCCTTCTAGAAGCACAGGCAACATTTGTGAAAGTTTCCTTGTTGTTCATCGAGGTCCCTGTGGTTGGAGGTTTTTCTTCCTAAGTATACAAAACCTCTATCACTTCCCTCATCCTCTCCAGGTGACTTAGGGGTTGGAAGAGCTAGTTTGAGCAAAACATTAACCTGTTCATAACCAGTGACCACAGGCCTGGGCCCCACCACGATGGCCCCTTCCCGGCCAGGGCCTGCCTGTCTTCTCTACAAACTGGGGTGGAGGAAAGACTTGCTATAAAAACATGCAGAGCCGGATGCCATGGCTCATGCCTGTAATCCCAGCACTTTAGGAGGCTGAGGTGGGAGGATCGCTTGAGCCCAGGAGTTCAAGGTTGACATTGAGCTGTAATCGAGCCACAGCACTTCAGCCTGGGCAACAGAGTAAGACCTGTCTCTTCAAAAAAAAAAAAGATGTTTTTGTCATAACTTCAGGACGATGCTGTTTAATAATAAACATCATTTCATGTTTGTATACAATGCTTTCACATAAGTTATTTCATTTTTTAAAATTTTGGTTCCCACTAGTACCCTCCTGGGAGAAAAGGAGAGTACTGTTACAGTCCATTTTACAGACGAGAAAACTGAGGCTCAGAGAAGTTAACCTACCCCAAATCAGTTCCCTCCTACATAACTCAATCAACTGTGCTACATGTGTTTGTTGTTTTTGTGTGTGTGTCTGTCTGTGATCATATAGGTATAGAGGTATGGATGTGTTTTGGGGTACTAGAGAAATGCTAAATAAATAAAATAATACAAAATAGCAAATAAGCAAAATAAATGAGGGAACAGAGTGTTTAAAAGGGGGAGAAAATGCAGCCGATTGAGGAAATCTTCCTACACTGAGGCTATCTGGAATGTTTTGGGGGAGTGACAGTGTGGCAAGAGTTCAGCCGAGGTGGCCTGAAGGGTGGTTGGCAAACTCGTGAGTATTCGAAGTCAGCCACTGACTGCGCCCCCATTTGGAAGAGGTACAAAATGCCACCCCACCCTGCCAGAACGGATCTTCCCCGTTAGGAAATTTGTACACTGGGGTAGGGGTGGAGCAGGGAGTGACACTCAAGGAAATGGGTTTTAGAATGTTTCGTACTGAATTTAACCCAAAGTTGATTTAAGGGAACCTCGTCATATCCTCCCGCTTCGCATTCCTTCTGCCCTGTGCCTCTACCAGAGGTGTCCTGTTTTGGCAAAAGGAAGCGTGACCCAGGAAGTCCATGTCCCAGGAAAGTCGAGGGACCCAGGGACGTGTGGGTCTTGGTGTTCCCCAGGCCCCGGCATGTGCTAATGGCCTCTCACTCCACACAGACTGCCCCTTCCCCCTGCCCAACTTTGTGTTCTGAACTTGGGGAAAAAAAAAAAAGGCAGTTGTGCAACTGGAGTCCGTCCTGGTCTGTTTACGGAGCACCGGAGCACGTGCTCGGCGTGAGTCAAGCAGTGAACTTCCAGGCCGTGCGACTGTTTACGGGCAGGCTGTTGGCTGACATGCATCGTCCTCACAGCTGGTTCTGATAAGCCACACGGTAGTTAGTTCGAGAGCACCGAGACGGGCCGACACAGGCGGTGCTAGAGGGCCCTGCCTTTCCCAGAACATGCACAGGGAAACTCAGCTGTTTCTGAAATCTCTCTTTTCCAGCCTTTTCCCTGGAAGGCTCAGGAATCAGTTTTGCGGATTTATTCCGGCTCATTGCTTTCTACTGCATCAGCAGGTAAGGCCTCTTCCTCTCTTACGATTTCAAGAACCTGCTTGGTGTGTGCGATGTAACCAGCCTGACATATCTTGAGGGATCTGGGATGTCAGTGAAAGGATCAGCTACTTAAATAAAATGTTCACCACGTCCCGCATGCCAGGCTTAAGGTGGAACCAGCTACCCTGGCCACTCCAGATATAAATTCTCATTAATGTGATTATGTCTTCAAGCTGCTCCCAAGGCTCCTTTCAGCCAAATCCATCAAGCAGGAAACACACACAAACACAGGCACATAAGTAAACACAGCACTTCCATGCACACATACATACACATACACGCGCACACAGAAAGGGGCCGATGATGCAAACCAGTAACATTTAAAGTTTCGTGATAATGTTTCCAAAATGCTTCAAGGGATGGAGTTCATTCTACCAATGTGGGTTCTTTAAACCAGCCCATAAATCTTACACTACTGTCCCTCAGGCCAACTGGGTGCTCATGTCACTTTCATAACCAGAGCCGCTGTTTCAGGCTACGTGAAGTTAAGCCCAAAATCAGAATGTTAATCAGTGTCAGAAGGGTATGAGTTGAGGAAGGCTTTCATTTTAAAAATTGTTTTTCTTTTCTTTCTAGTAATAGCAGTGTTTCAGATCAAGTGTTCTCAGTGATTAAGAATCGAAACTCTTCTTATCTGCAGAGGTTGACATCACCTCCTCTTACTGTTGTTTGTCCATTGCAGCTGATACAGTGGAGACAGAGAAATGCATTACTAGGGTTGTTTTCTAAGATCACTTCTCACAGCTGTCACACATTTAGGCTGAGGAGTCTGTTTGGGTTTGATTTGTTTTATTTTAATTTAAGGATGAGGTTATTTCTCAAAGACGAGTTACATGTTCCTCGGGCTCATTGCCTAGACCCTGCCAGAGAGCAGGCATGAAGTGCTTTACCTCCTGCAGGTCTCTGGGCTAGGCAAAGCCACACAATCAAAGGCCTGAGGACAGAGAGGCACTTCCAGAGGGGGAATTCAGCGCTACTCACCAGCAGGAAGAAAGGAGGTCATTACCTAGAACCGAACTACTACCCTGTGAGGGTCCCCCCAAGAGGATGCCACCTGCCCGCCATGGTTTGGTAGGACCTTCCAGCCTGTGTAAGGAAATGTCTTGTCCAAAGAGAGGAGGCTGGTACAGAAGCACAGTCCCCAACACACACACACACACACACACACACACACACACACATTCACACTCACACACCCTCACACACACATCCTCAGGGAACCACACCTGGAGCCAGCCAAGTTGAGGAGTAAGTCTCAGTGCTGGCATGTCAGCCGGAGGTGAAGTCGACTGATGTTTACCCTTCACAGTTTTCTCGTTGGTAATCGTACTGTTGTCTAGAATGATCGTTACACCCACAAAGCGATATTTGCAACTGCACAGAAAAGATGCCATCAGTGTTCATGATAGACTGGAATACCTGCTGTCCAGGACTATTTGATGAGTAAAGGAGATAAAGCATATGAAAGCCTTGTAAACAACAAAACATGACACCAACGTAAGTTACTTACAGAAAAAAACCTCAACATTGACATTTTGCAACTAGGGAGGCCCAAAGATTAATTTCCCCCCTTTTTCCCCCAAATGCAAAAGTACTTGATGTTTTTGTTTCTCTTTGTATGCTACTCATCTACGTTCTTGGTAGTCAGCTATAGATTTGACCCAGACTTAGCAAAATATTTGTGAAATACTTTAGTTGATGATTAGTGCATAAACATACTCAAATAGAGAAAGGGATCGGATTCTCAGCTGTGCTGTCTCACAGGGAGTGCACTGGACAAGGGCATTCATGGATCAGTAAGCATAGGACTTGCGGCATCAGGAAGGCTCCATGAAAAGCACAGTGGGGGCCAGGTGCGGTGGCTCATGCCTGTAATCCTAGCACTCTGGGAGGCTGAGGTGAGAGGATTGCTTGAGGCCAGGATTTCAAGAACAGCCTGAGCAAAGAGCAAGACTCCATCTCTACAAAAAATAGAAAAATTAGGTGGGCATGGTGGCACACACCTGTAGTCACAGCTACTTGGGAGAGTGAGGGAGGAAGATCGCTTGAGCCCAGGATTCTGAGGTTGCAGTGAGCTATGATGATGCTACTGGACTCTAGCCCCGGTGACAGAGCAAGACTCTGTCTCAAAAAAAAAAAAAAGAGAAGAAGAAGAAGAAGAAGAAGAAGAAGGAGAATAGTTGAGAATACGAATAGTGACTGCAGACCTTGACCACCAATGCCTAGTAGCTGTGTGTGTGTGTGTGTTGTGATCAGTGTAGTGGAGAGAACTGCCTTTCACACCTTCATGTGCACTAAATCACTTGGGATCTAGTTGAGACTCAGAATACGACTCTGTGGTTCTGGGCTGGTGCCTGAGATTCTGCATTTCCAACACGCTCCCAGGTGATGAGGCCACAGCTGCTGGTGCTTGGACCTCACTTTGTATATCAAGGAGATAGAGGAAATAGTAAGTTTAGATGTCTGCTGTATCTGTGCTAGGCACCATACATACATCATGTCTAATCCTCATGGCGCCCCTGTAAATTAGGACCAGGAAGACACCGAGGTGGAGAGAGGGAGGTACTTGCCCATAATCATTCAATCAATCTGTAGCAGTTATAGGATGTGAACCCAGGCCTGCCTTGATGCCAGAGCCCATGTTTTCCCACCATACTATACAGCTGCACAGACCTTGTGGTCCAACATGCCTGGGTTCCAACCCCCACTTCACCTCCATTAGTTCTGTGCCAGGGACTTGACCTGTCTACATTGTCACATGCTCCTGATCCATAGAGTGGGAGCATGACGGCTTCCTCCCAGGGTCGTGTGTGGGCCCCAGATGACTTAAAGTGCTTGGTGCAGTGCAATAGTGGCTGCTCAATAATGTAAGTCCCATCCCCTTTAGAAATACTACACATAGAGCAAAATGAAGATAAATCTATTAATAGATTGTGCATGTATGGAAATTATTGGGTGAAACATATTGAAGATGATGCCTTTAGTTTGTGTGTTATGCAAGCTTTAGAATTGGGGCCCCTTTCTTTAACACAGTGTGAGTGAGAGGGAAGTGTCCCTGTGTGTGTGTGTGTGTGTGTGTGTGTGTGCGTGTGTGTGTGTGAAGATGCTGGGATACACCCTGGGCAGGACAGTGGGAGAGGACTCATGTAGAACATCTAATTTTCTAGAAGATCAAAGCCTAAAACCATCCATTAACAAATGACAGGTATGGCTTCCTGTCATATCATTAAGAAAAACCCAAACCGATCACGGGTTGTTTAAGCTCCGGGTACTGCATTGAGCAAGGTAAAAGCTTAAAATAAACATAGGTTGGTTTTGTTGTATGCGGCTTTTCCCCCAACTTGTCTAAAGAAAGTAGATTTTAATTATGTTGGTCCAGCCATACAAACATATATTTACAGGATGCTTTGGTGTTACACAGTTGTGGTTCCCATTAATCTTCATTTCAGATTATAATCAGGGTCACTGCACTGCCCCACCCCCACCCCCGGCCAGGTCAGGCAGCAGCTGTTATTAATACGAACACTGCCATCTCCTGAAGCTCCACCTGCCTCCTCTCAAACAGACACAAGTAGACAAGCAAAGGGGAGATGCTCATAACATTTGGGGACAGGTGAAAGGGTCTCATGGAAGCAGGTGGTGACCTGGGCTTGACACCCTAGGAAAAAGCAGCCTGCTGACTTGACATGAGCAGCATAGTAGAGCTTTTGTGACACTAGTAAGTGTCTAAACATCCTTGTTTTGTTCTTTTCATTGACTTACTAACTTGTTATTCATTGTCAACAGCTTCAAGAGTTCCAAAATTCTCCAATCATCCAGATTTAGTCTGTTTCATCCTAGAACGTTGCCTAACCTTACTGTAAACAAGAGGTTGTTTGACATAGTTATTCTCTTCAGTGAAAATTTTCAGGACATCTTGTGATGACAAAATACAGGCAGAAGCTCCAAGTTTTGTCCCTCACTAACTCCACCCCAAGCCACGATGATTTTCTTGCTGTTCTTCATACATGCCAGACTCTTGCTGACTCCAGGGCCTTTGCATATGCTGCTCATTCTGCTTGGAATGTTCCTCCCCTCATGGTTTACTCCCTGGCCACCATTAGACCTTCAATCAAACACCACCTGCTCATGAAGCCCTGTCTGGCCCACCCTCACACACGAACACTATTTATTTCCCTTTCCTGTTTTACTTTTGTCCCTGTCACGTACCCCCTTCTTGTATATTCCACGAATTACCTATTTGCTTATTGTCTGTCAGAGTCCACTGCAGTGAAGCTCCACACAGGCAGGGACTTTTGTCTGTTTTGTTTCCAGCCCCTGGGGCCTTGTCTGGCACACCATAGATGATCATAAACATTTGTTGAATAAATGAATGATTCTTTCTTTGAAGACCAATACCACTGCTGAAAAAAAAAACTCCTTTTTAAAAAAGTCACCATTGTCATTGAATATTTATTCATTGAAAATACACTTTCTCCCTGTCTGTATCAGGCAAGGCATGTGCTTAGCCCCGTGGGGAATTCACCAGTGCTCAGAGGATTGTCCTAGCCCTCATGTATGAATGTGAACAGGTGTTTGATAAGTCTGCCTTTGCCCGAGGAAGCAAATCATGGTTGGTGCACCTACTTATGACGACTCTATGCTCCGTCTATGACAGGACCCTGGTGCCTGCTTGGCTCCTTTCTGTTGGGCCTGTTTCCCTGTGTATGTTTGCCTGGCTGCATATGGTACTGTGCTGCTTGGGCACTGGGGTTGTTGGCATGAGATGCCTTAGTCTTGCCTTCCTATTTGAAGTGTGGTCCAGAGTCCTGCAACCTCAGCATCGCCTAGGAGCTTAGCAGAAATGCTGACTCTCCGGCCCCACTCAGACCTCCCGAATCAGAGTATGCAGCCTATCGAGACCCCAGGGATTCATGTGAATATTAAAGCTAGAGAAGCTGTGCCTTCAAACACAGGGGAAAGTTTTGTCTTCAGCACACGAAGGAGGATATATGGGCGCTAGTTGGAAGATGTCACAAGTAAAAGCAACAGATATCTGTTGAGAACCCACCATGTGTAAAGCAACAGGCTAATAAATCTTGGTTTAGGATGCCACATTCCTGCTTGGGGAGGTGGAGCCCAGCATTCAAATGAGCTTCTGGCAAATTATAATAGTACATATTGTTTTATATGTATGATAGATCTGCCAACATAATCCAATCCTCATATTAACTCTACATGCCTTTTAGCCACCCAGCAGGGAAATTTGGTCCTCAGACAGGAATAGTAAGTGTTGAGTCCTATCACAGTAAAGGTAAGTCCTGGTTGGGTACGATATGGTGTCTGTTTAGGACATTTTCAACAGCTTACACTAAGAAAATCTCTAGGATGAAAATGAATGCAAGAGATGGAAACCAGACGCGTAATTACAAACATTCTCTCTATTTTCTGAAAAATCAGGGATGTTCTGCCGTTTACCTTGAAGTTGCCTTATGCCATTTCAACTGCCAAGACTGAGGCTAAGCTTGAAGAACTGGCCCAGCTGGGACTAAGTAAGTGGGGGCTCCCTGCCTGGGTCTATCTAAAAATGAATCCATGGAGCGGAGTCAATTTTGGGCTGGCTAAGGCTACACTGCTATGTCAAACACACCTACGGTCAAAAATAGTTCCCACCTTCATGGCAAAACTCAGCCTTCAGGTCCTTGAGGTCCCTTAATCACTGTGAGATTCTCTGGCCAAGTCAAATGTTCAGCCCATTCTCAAAGAGACTGGTACTGAGTTTGCCTGGGTGACCCCCAGATCTCCCCACCTTCTCCTATCAATGAGTTTGGGCTACCCAAAATGTTAAAGTCCTAATGTAAACATCTGTAATGTCTCAGTGTCTTCCCTTTCTATGGCATCTTGCTGGGGAAAGGCAGTGCTTGACAGAAAGGGAAATCCAGTGTAGTGCGTTTTGCATGCAAGATTTTTATTTTTGAAGGTCACATGGGCACTGACGGCACTTCTGTGCCTTGAGGAATTTGACAGTGCAGGCACCTAGAGTAACATCGGTCTCACTTCCTCTCTTATTGTTCAATTCCTGTCCTGCTGTTCTGCGCCACATCTCCACCCGGCCATGGACCCTGGCTCTGGCAGCTGGGCACTTGCTTCCCCCTCCTGCTCATTTGCTGATGCCCCCTAAGTCCCCACAGTCCAGCTAGACAATGGTTGCCAGTGGATCAAGACACCCAACTCATCCAGTTTGACTTCTTTTTCCCATTGCCCTGGGGAATCCATGTGGGCTTAATTTTTGTAAAAAAAAAAAAAAAAAAATTCAGTAACTGAACTAAGCATCGGTTCTAAAATTTAAATTAATTGACATTAAATGAAAGTTGAGTTTCTCAGTTGCACTAGCCGTATTTCAAGTGCCCAGTAGCCATCTGTCAGCTCTCATGTTGGACAGCACAGAAGTAGGGGGAGAGGAAGGAGGGATGCAGGATAGACTTCACAAAACAAGTGACAGGGACACCAACGTCTGGATGTCACCACACAGACGGGGCAGGGCCGGGGCTCCATGCGTAAGCCTCTCCTCAGTCCTTCCAGTAGCAGCCATTCTGGATCCAAAGGAAAGAAAGACATTTAAAGCAAACACAGGCGTAGCTGGAGAGAGAGAGTGACCTATTCCAGGTGGAAATGACAACGGGCAACACTGATCACCTCCATTTGCACAGGAAGCCGAGACCCATCTATAAGAGGAGACACAGGCAGTACAGACGCAATAAGCAATCTGTGCCGCTCCACAGGGTCGAGTATTTACAGCCAGGGTGAGGAGGTTGCAGGATTTAGGAGGCATGCACCGCAAACCACCAAGGTATTTGGCTGAACCTGCACTTCACATTTGAATAAGTTTGCTGTCGTGATTTTTGCTGATGGACCCACGAGGGCATTTTCCTCCTCTTGGGGTTTTAATGCTGAATGTGTAAAACCCCAGGCAGATTGTGAAACATTCCCCAGCCTCAGCTGCTGGTCCTGCCTGTTAAAGGGGAACTTCAAGTCCCGATTCCCGGGCTGGCAGCTGCCTCTGTGGAGGACATCCCAGGAGAAGTTGATTGGGAAGGGTGATGTTGCTTTTTACATTGACTCGGTTTTTGTAAAGCAAGTCAGGGAGCCCAGATGGCCTTTGCAGAGCTTAGGTTGTAACAATTCCAATTCTTTTTTTCCTTCTGACTTACCTGTGAAAAGGCCAGACTGGAATGCATGTTGGCCAAGCCGTTTCTCCAGAGCTTTGAAGGTGACAGGCCCCTGGCAGCCTTCCTGCCCTTTCCAGTAAGCGAGTGCAGTAAAAGCAAAAAAAAAAAAAAAATACGGAAAAACCAAAAACACCCCCCAAATGTTGTGTCCCCCCCCCAAGTGCACGTCGTCATGCAGTGTGCTTTTTTTAACTTGTGCAGGAACGGTCCAAGTGTACTGTATTTACATTCTTGTGTTCACTGATAATGACTTTCAGATTTTTGGAGCTCTCCAGCTGACAACAAACCCCCAAACCCTCCAGCCCCCCACGGCTCTCCCTCCTCCGACGGCGTCTGTCCTGCCTCCTTGCGTCAGCTCTGCCTTATAAATGGAGTGCATTCTATAAAAACCAGGACGCCTTCAGAGCTGGAGTGCAGCCAGACCAACGGAGCCCTGTGTTTTATTAATCCTCTTTTCTTGAAAGTGCACAGCCAGGACCTCAGTGGAGGCCTGAAACGCCCGAGCACAAGGACTCCCAACGCGAATGGCACCGAGAGGCCTCGGTCCCCCCCACCCAGGCCCCCGCCACCCGCTATTAATAGTCTCCACACAAGCCCTCGGCTGTCCAGGACTGAAACCCAGACGAGCATGCCAGAAACAGTCAACCATAACAAACATGGGAACGTAGCTCTGCCTGGAACCAAACCAACTCCCGTCCCTCCGCCGCGGCTGAAGAAGCAGGCTTCTTTTCTCGAAGCGGAAGGCGGCGCAAAGACCTTGACCGGCGCGCGGCCCGGCGCGGGCCGGGAGCTGGAGCTGGGCACAGCTGGCAGCCCAGGTGGAGCCCCGCCTGCGGAGGCCCCGGGCGATTGCACAAGGGCCCCGCCGCCCAGCTCTGAATCACGGCCCCCGTGCCATGGAGGCCGGCAGAGGCTGAGTGACATGAGCATTTCCACTTCCTCCTCCGACTCGCTGGAGTACGACCGGAGCATGCCTCTGTTTGGCTACGAGGCGGACACCAACAGCAGCCTGGAGGACTACGAAGGCGAGAGCGACCAGGAGACCATGGCACCCCCCATCAAGTCCAAAAAGAAAAGGAACAGCTCCTTCGTGCTGCCCAAGCTCGTCAAGTCCCAGCTCCAGAAGGTGAGCGGCGTGTTCAGCTCCTTCATGACCCCGGAGAAGCGGATGGTCCGCAGGATCGCCGAGCTGTCCCGGGACAAATGCACCTACTTCGGGTGCCTGGTGCAGGACTACGTAAGCTTCCTGCAGGAGAACAAGGAGTGCCACGTGTCCAGCACGGACATGCTGCAGACCATCCGGCAGTTCATGACCCAGGTCAAGAACTATTTGTCTCAGAGCTCGGAGCTGGACCCCCCCATCGAGTCGCTGATCCCTGAAGACCAAATAGGTAAGTACCCACTTTTTTTCCCCAAATATACAATCTACTGTAACCTTGTCGGGCCAGCGCACCCTATGTTACTTGTTTTGGATGAAGTTTAGTCTGACGTTCAAAACAACACCAAACTCCACCCCCTGGTCCAATTTGAATGGAAAAATCAGCTTCTTAAAGTAGCTGCTACCTGGCAGACTTGAAAATGTTTTCAGGGGTGACACATTGGATCTGCAGAGTGATTCTGTTCCGGGTTTGTGCTGTTTGGCCTTCAGAGGGTCCAAGTGGCCGCCTGCTGTTGTGCCGGGTGTGTGCTACATCTGTTGAGAGTTTGCTGAAACTGCATCTCTGCAAGCTGAGCATGCACACAAAGGTGTTTTTGCTGTCTTCCGAGAGGCAGTGGGCGTTTTGTTCTGCTTTGTGATGTAAACTTTTTACTGAGGTGTAGCATATGTTCAGAGACCACGTATGCAGCGAGTCAAGTTTCCACCCTGAGCACACCTGTGTGACAAGCACCAGGTAAGCTCAGTAAACAGAACCTGCCCAGCATCTAGGACCCCCGGGATCCCATAGGTAACTGCCCTGCAGGCTTTTCATCCCATAGAGTTCTGTAAGAGGCACAGTTGGGAGTGAGAGAGAAAAAAAAAAAAAAGGAAAAGATAGCTTTCTTTTTTGTACCTTTAAAATAAGTAACATAGTTTGGAAGTGACACAGAAGGTGTTTTCTCTGAAGTCAAGGGGAAACACTTTTTTTATAACCCCATTTAAGGGCGGAATTGTTAATGGTAACTTTGGCCAAGGCAGATTTGAATTTGGCAAGCAGTCTTTTTTTCCAGGGCAAGAGTGTTGAAGGGTTGTTTCGGTTTGTTTGTTTCTTTTAATTTCAGAAGGTTGACTGTACAAGGTTAGTTTCAGAGACTTCATTCACTGGGCAGTGACAGCCAAAGGAGCCACCAAACATTTCCAGCAGCTCATAAGTTAAACCCGAATTTTTTCTTTCTGATTGGATCTGTTTGTTGAAAGTAGTAAATAGTGTGTGGTAGAGTTCTCTCACTCAGGCTCTCTCTTTCTCTCTCTCTTTTTCTCCTTTAAGTGAATTTCAGCAGCTCTTTGATTTTCTCACAAAGGAATCAAAGCCTTGTTTGTTTTCCTGTGGTTTGACTGAGGCCGGGTTGATCAGGGCGTGGTTAGAGCTGGGGTGTTACTGAAGTGAGTGGCTGAAAGGAATGTGCCCTTGTGAGGTGCCCTGGAACTGAAAAAGGCTTCAAGGAGAAGGCAGCGTATCCACACAGGCCACCTCTTTCCCGACATCCCACCAGAGCCCCCCTTTCAAGGGAGACCAGCTCTGACTTCATGTTAATGGGGCCCCCAACCTGCAGGAGATGCTTCCTCTCAGGGGCAGGAGAGGCGGGGGGTCGGCGGGGGGGGTAGCCAGGCAGACGCTGATGTCAGGCCTGAGCTATGTGGCGGGTGGCGCCAACCAGCCCACAGTGCCTGGCCTTCCTTCCCTGCTGATGTTGTAAGCACCAACCCAAGTGAGTCCCGGCTTCTTCTGATTTCTCCATGCCAGCTTGTTTGTAGTTAAGTTCAGATACGGTCCTTGCTCTTAGAGCTCAAGGGCTCACTCATTTTCTCCAAAAACACGCTGAAAATTATACGCTTTGCTGCTCCAGAAGGATGCGGCTTTTAATTTAAAATCTAAGGTCATAATTTGAAGGCAAGCCAACATCTGTGGAGCCTCCAGTAGGAGCCGGCAGCCAGTCCAGCTGTTCCAACGGGTCTTTGCCTCACCCCGTACGACGGGCACCAGCATCCCGTGTGCAGTGGAAGAAGGCAGGGCTGTGCCAGGTGGAGTCATTTGTCCCAAGTCCACACCAGCAAGTAACTAGCAGGTGCAGCACTTGAACTTCTGTCAGATGAGAAGCCCCGTGTTTGCTAAGCTCCCCGCTGTGCTGCTGCTTGTGTTTATATGTTCTCGTCAGGATTTCGGGGAATTGTAATAGTGGCCAACCCTTCGTTAAGGCAGCTCAGACTAAAGCTCTCTGTTGAGATGTGGGCCTGACTTCCAAAAGCATTGCCGTGCTCTTTTGTGGGTTTGGGGGTTTTTTTAAACTTGTGCATTAAAGCAGACAGTTCCTCCTATTGCTTCATTAATGAAAACGTCAGTCAGTTTTGAGACTGTAGTGTAAGTGCTGAACTTTTGAAATGAATGGGAAGGCGGCGAGTGGGAACAGAGGTCAACCTGAGAAACTCATCACAAGCCCAGTTGAAGGGACGGATGTGACCCTAATTATTAGAAAGCCAATCCCCTTAGACACGCAAGTTACTAGTTTAGGGCTCTGATTAGAACATGGACGTAACCCAATTGTCTATGTTTTACATATTCCTAAAGGAAGGGTTCACTGGCTCACTGAGGTCTTGTGAATCCAGTGACACCTTTAAGACTCACACCTAACTCAAGGTTGGTATATTTGAGTAGATTTTGTTCGTGTTTTGCAAATTCAGGAACAAGGACTGAGATGTGTGGAGTCACGTGTAGAGGGTTGTGCCCTGGTGAGTGGGGCAGCTCGTGTTCAATCCAGATCCTCTTGTCTGGATGTGTGCTCATTCCCACCATATCTCACTTCCTGTGTGGCACACCAGATGGTCTTCACTTCCAATGCCATCCTCGGAATTCCAAGCCTCAAATTTGTACTGAACAGATGTCCACTGATGCTCGTAAGGCTTTTCAAGAACGCCAGTTGGGTTTGTCTGCTTCAAAAAAAAAAAAAAAAAAATCTAGTTCTATCCTCATTTCCTATAACTTCTGAAAGAGATAGCTCTACAGTAGAAGACAGGAATTCTAATTGAAAGCCCTGATTTACAGAACATTCATCCTGAAGTCAAGGAAGTACAAGGAGGCATTTCACTGGTTTAACTCCCGTAGAATTAGGGCAGTCATTCTAGGTGAAAATGACCATGAGAATGCATGCACACAGATGTCTTTAGCATATGGAGATGGTACTAACCTGTCTTCAGATTGCAGTTCCTCAGTTGCATAGACAAAAGCCAGTGGGAACAACAAACAGTTCTCACCCACTCACATTTTGCCCATGTGCTGGTGTTACTATCCTTTGTAGCACTTTCTAGACAAGTATAAATGATGAATACTGAATCAATCTCAAAAGGAAAAACTGCCACTGTAAACATTACCTCCTATCACAGAGCTTTGAATTCTACTTAGACTACCCTTTAGAGCACTTCCATACAAAAGCCCTACCATTTAGAGGTTCATGAATAAATATTAGTTGCCTGACATCCAGTTGGCTCTTCTAGTTAGAGAATGAAGCCAATGAGGGTAAGACGTGGGTTAGGTCCCATGCGAACCAGCTGTTCATTCCAAGACCATATATTGTGCTTCCCTTCTGGACAGAACATCCACCCACCCTCACCTCTCCACAGTGGTGTGTGGAAGAATAATGAAATGCTTTAATAAAAAGCATACCCAGCTTTCGGGCCCTACTCAAAGCCCTAGGGGTGGGTCATTTCGTTGACAGTGTGTATTATGCTTGTTGCTAGTGTCCACGGTGCGTGACTTTTGCTCCACCATGTGCTTCCTCATTGGTGGGTTTTCACATCACTCTTGCTTCAGTCTTTTTCAACCAATGGGAGAAATTCATCCAAAACATCTGGTAGAGAAATCTCCGTTTTGCGGAACTTGTTGCAATGTTGTGATTAGTGTTTTCATTTGAGGAAAGGAATGTTTATTTCTGACTTGATATCAATCTTGGGAAATCCCTGTGTTTTCAAGTCCTATTTCAAGAAAAAACTTTCTCCAACTCCAAAAATGTTAGTAATCCTAAGTTTTCTGTTTCATTCAAACTATTCACCACAGGCTGTCAACAGTGACACAAAATAGCCAACTGTTCATATTCCTAAAAGTCAATAGTGAAAACAAGACAATATTGTTTTTATTCCTTTAATTGTTACAAACCAACATGTACAGTTTCTCCAAAGAGCACTTTAATGATTTGAAGGAAAAGTATCATGAAACTCAATTCCCACATATTTCAAAGAGCACATCAATTTACGTATTCAAGGGGTTTTTGTTTAATAGAAAAGTGATACTGAAAATATGGTTAGACACAGAAAGTACAGTATGCATAGAAAAGGGAATTGGAGTGATTCCCTGGGAGTTAAACAATCACAACTACTTTGGTTCAGATCAGTTTTTTAAAAATTTAATTCTGGCTCTCGCTTCAATCTCTAGTGTGACTTGTTTTTAATTTTTCAGTTCACAGTTTGGTGCAAGCCCCTGAGTTATCTCCTCTTTTTTTAGATAAAGATCCATTCTTAGAGGTGTGAGTAGGGAGGCATGTTAGTTAGTGCCAAACTGAGATTAAAACCTTGACTCTTCTGACTTCTGATCTAGTTCATGTGACCCTGTCCTCTCAAGAAGAAAATGTCCTTGTGCAGTTAACAAGGGATAGAGAACAAGGAGAAAGATTGGCCTTTCGAGGTGTATAAAAAGAATGCCTGTACTATTTTCAAAAATTGATTTAAATAGGTAGAAAGCCACAAGAGGAAGCACCCATGGGGTATGCTTTGTTGAATAATTTTTACTTTAGGTCATCAAAATTGGGTCGATTATATCAACTAAAAGGAAGTTCACAACCCTAGAGTTGAGAATCTCTGATCGTGAGTCCTTGATGTCATGATACTCACACAAGGTGGCCGTTAGCTCAGTAATTCAGAGAGGCCTTGCTCACAGGTGGATTGGGGGGATGGCATCACAGAATAAGTCATACAGCGATATCTACACCAGAGTATTTTCTTACTATGTCCCTGGAATCTTCCTGCCTCCTGGGCAGGAAACATCACCAGGTAAAAGAGGAATTCATGAAAGAATTGAGGAGTGTGACCCAAAGGACACCTAGAATGCTGCATGGATTGTGTGGAAACATCAGAATCTTTAGGGCTTGGACGCATTTTCTCACCCCTCTACCCCTGCCAACAGGACAGCTCCAACTGGCTATCTTG